TTTTTTTTTTGTCATTTGCTTCCTCAATTCCTCGTTTCATCTTTTTTCCCATCCATTTGTTATCTTTTTTTTCGCACTTTTCTTTTGCTTCTCCATTTCCCGTCATCACTCCCTCTTCCCCCAATCCTTGATTCAAAAAATAAAATTAAACAGAAAGTGGAAAGCCAAAGTGTATTGGAGTCGAACTTACACGGGAAAACTTCAGCAGCTATTGGTAAATGAAAAATTCTTAGGGAAATGAAGCAGTTTTTATTGAAACAGTTGTGATGTCAAAAAATTACCATTACAAATGCGGATTTTTCTGAAACAACGATTACTGTTGTGCTCTTGAACAGTTTTCACCTTTTGATGAGTTTTCAACTTGTCTATCGGTTTCGTCTATCGTACTGTTGTTTACCATCATTAGTTCAATTTGTAAATAATGTAGCACCCCCTCCGTTTCAACCCTTTTTTTTTGTTTTGTTTTGCTAAAAATAAGAATCATTTTGTCAAAGTCTTCTTTTTCATGCTTTCTTTTTTTTCTTTTGCCTTGACATTTCATCATTCCCGTTAACGTACTGCTATCGTTGTTACTGAAATACATGCATAGAGATTTACATGCAAAAACCATGTAGAGAATGTGTTATTGGACAAAAAAGAGCAAAAGTTGTTTATTGTTTCGTGCGAGGACACCGAAACAAAGTTGGAGTAAAAACAAAAACCAAAAAAAGAAAGATGGAAAGAACGGAAGGAAAGAATGGAAGCTATGAGCATAAAATTTAACAATTTATTTCTTCTGGTGTACGTTTTTTTTTCTTTCAACTATTACTAATCACTATATCAGCAGCTGAATTATCGCTTATATTAATACTGCTATTTTGTTAGTGTTATTGTCATTATTGTTACCAATACTCATGTTCTTATTTGCAGTATAAGTATTTTCACTAGTTTCTCTAAAATTTTTGCTAATTTTGAATAAATCATTGAATTTTTTCCCCAACGTTAATATTTCCATGTACTTAAATTTATCGGTTGTTTCAGCGATAACACCAAAAATTTCTGCATTGAACTTGCCGTTTTTCATTAATATTCCAGTTAAACCGATTTTTAAAATAAATGTTTATTCGAAAATTTTTGTTACGGTAGTTCGTTGCTGCTAGATCATCGTCGTCGTCGCTCTCCTGTCACTGTTGTTATTACCCCATTTTTAATTTTGTATTGCTACCAAACATATATTTAGGGATTCATAGAGCATAAAATTATCTTTTTGATTAATAATTGTTAATTGACGCTTTTTGTCAAATATCTGATAATGATATTGGTAAAAATGGAACAGAAAACCTTTTCAATAAAATTTGAATTCAAATAAGTTGGTTCGTTTCTTTTTTTTTTCCCGAAGCTTATATACGGATTTATATGTTAATTTTGGAATTTTGTATACTTATTTTCTAAATGACCTGGGATGAAAACATTGGTGTTGGATGGTAAACCACGTGACACACTGATTCGTTTAAAACAAAATTTTGCAGTGTACTGATACACTTTTTTAATTTTGCTTTGTACAACGAATTGGATACAATTAGGTTCATTAATCGGTTAGTTGCTTGATTGATTGATTAATTATATTGGTTGTAGTTAGTTACCTAGTCGGCTAGTCGATTTGACTTAATTACTTTCTGGAACAAAAGAAGAAGAAAAGTAGTTTTTACCTCCCAAACAGTCATGTCATTGTTGCCATTACGGTACTATTGAATACTGTCGGTAGAACGGCTTTTTATTCATTTATTGGAGTGTTATTTTTCCTTTACTATTCATATTTGCACTGTCGCTATAAGGGAAGGAGAAAAAAATAAGACAACAGATTCAGCACCGATATGCTAAACAGTCAAAAATTTCTGTGGTTTGCTTCCTTCTCGCTTTTTTTCCTTTCATTCTTTTATAAAACTTTCGCGTATCATTATGTACAGTTGTGTACTATTTGGACAACTTTGAAATTTGTATTTGTTTGATAAACTGAGTTTATTTTCCTTGTCCAATGACACGCTTGTTGTTAGTGTGATCTAGGTAACAATGACAGCGTCACCACTGGTGGTGCTAACGTTGATGACGTTTTCGGCGAAGATGATGACGACATAAAAGTCTTTTTGTTTAAAACAGAATATACAAACAACTATAGAGCTTGTAGTGAGAAGAAACGTTTTGTGTAAGGGACAAATGAAGAAAAAAGTTGATGGCCGGTGCCAAATATGCTACGATACTGGTCATGGATATCACTTTGGCGTCATCGCTTGTCGTGCATGTGCAGCATTCTTCCGGAGAACTATTGCATTAAATCTTAACTACAAATGCCGGTTTGAGGAAAGATGCGTAATCAACAAATGTGACAATTCAATAACCGTTCTATTTTTTTTTTTTTTTTTGTATAGATGATAATATTGCAAAAAAAAAAGGAAAAATTTAGTTCTTATAATTCTGGTTATCAGTTTAGAATTGTTATTCCATTTTTTAAATATTTTATAATTTAGTCGGATTTAGTGCTCTCGTAGACTTTTAATTTTGTTTAGTACTAATCAGTTAAAAAATTACTTCCTTAAAAGAAGCATTATTTTTTGACGTAACCACTCTTACAGGAGGAGTTTGAAAAAAGACAACAACAAAAAACCTCCAAAAAGGCTAATGATCCAAAAAAATTCTCTAGCTTTTTGCTACTATAGTTCACCCAAGAAGAATTAGAAAATATGGCTCGCCTGCCATCAGTTCTTAGCTTTGTAGACTGTTTTGTCTAGCGAAAAAAATTTTGGAATTTTTTTAGTTTTTAAAGCCAAAATCAGTAATGAATAGATACCGAGTTTTTTTATGAGAAAACTCTTGTGTTAAATTAGTTTTAACAAGTTTTTTTATCACACCGTAGGTTAGTGAAATTTGCGGGTTACAGAAGAAGTAGTCACCTGTTATATTTGCGACACCTATGAATTCACAGCTTAACGATAGAACTGTTGTTGCACTGAACTGTACACACGTATTGCAGCGGTCAGATGTATGTGCCGAAAATGCCGTCTTAGCAAATGTTTGAAAATGGGTATGAAGTCGGAAGGTGAGAACCGAAACAATATAACCGTAGTTTTTTCTCTAAACTAAAATACCTAATATCTTGTTGCATCTTTATAATAGTCAGACGTTTAAGACGGTAGTAGTTAAACCATTAGTTTAAATGCCTTTTTTTCTAGACAGTTATAAAGTTTCTTCATGGAACTGTTTCAGCTGTACAGCTAAACCGTGATCCAATTGGTCATGTGTCGCACAGGGAACGTTCCACTGTCATTGTCCAGAGTTCACCGTCCTCAAGTTTCGTGCCGCAAACGACCATCCCTGGCAGCGCTGCAATGAGTGTGGAAGAATTTGACGTTAAGATAAACGAAATTTTTGAAGGAGTAATTTTTTAGCTTGAAGTTACAGTTTATGATGTTACAAGCAGCATTTCTTGAATTCATTTTTTATCTTGATGTGCCTAGGCTTTTGCACTTGTTTTACTGCAATTATTTTAGTAATTATTCGAGTCACCTTTTTTTTTTCAAAATGATTGTCAATGCGATTTAGTACCGTTTTTGCCAAAATACAAATCCGGGGCCATCAATTTTGGATGAAATGATAAGAGCATATCACGAAATTGATTTCCAACGGAGTTATATACATGATGATAGTGCAATAACTGAAGCAAGTGGTCCCGAAACTGAAGAGCAGCAGAATGAAAGAATGCGGAAGAACCTTAAAATATTCAGGAAGATTATGTTTAATGAAGTACAACTTTCAGCCAATATGGTAGCTCACTTTTATCCATTTATGGAACTCCCTCCCAATCAAAGGGTTTGTATCAATTCGTGTTGTCGAAGTTGCTGTATAGTGAGCGTGTCAACATTTGTGCATAGTGCATGTAAGTTTTTTTCAGATGCTACTGTTCAAACGGTTTTGGCCGCGTTTTTTAAGAATTGAACGAGCGTATGCAACTTATGTAAAGCTGGGATCCGATGTTACCGATGAGAGGACAGTATTTTACAATGGACGTGTAGCGCATAAACACGCATTTATTTCTGCCATTTCGCAGATTTCTAAACTAAGTCTAAATCAGCTGAAAAGGTTTATTGAATTTTTAACAACTATCGTAATTCACTATTTATCGTTTTAACTTGCCTTATCAAATTTCATTTGCATCGGAGTTGCAAATTTGGCTTTGTTATCACCATTACTACGTAAAAGTGCGGAAAAAGTGAAATGATTAATGGTTGTTGCAGCTTACTTTCACTATCTCAAGAAACTACTTGGTCATTTGTTCGGACACCGTTGAAGATGCTAAAACCAACTGAATTTGAATTTATTGCAATGTGTGGGTATTTGCTCTGGACACCACCTGGTAATATTCTTTTGAAAGATCTACCTTGTACAATCTTTTTTGAAATAACTTTTTTGTCGTAATAAATAAACAGGTTGAACTTTAGGTGTTAAAGGACTTGAAGTGAGCACTGTTCAGAAATGTAAAGAAGCTCGAGAAAGAATTTTTTCGGCATTACATCGATACTATACGGACGTGTTGTCGTTACCGGCATACGCTGGTCGGCTAGCAGAATGTATGGCACTGCTATCCGGTGTAGAGGTAAAATCGTTGTTTGTGAAATTGATCTTCTCAAGTCAAATTCTGTTATCAACTCTTGTGCTGTACTAAAACTGTAACCTTGTTGCTGACTGTCTGGAGGCTCATGAAAAAATAAGATGGTTTTTTGGTATAGAACAGTGGTGGATAACTGTTGGTCGTTAGAACATAACTATTAATGGTAATTTTTGTTTACAGGTGTCGGTTTCGCTTTGGAAGGAAGATTTAATGATCCTTGATTTATTTGATTTGTGTAAATTGGATGCAAATCTCTTTGATTTCACTAAATTTTAATGGTAATATATGGTTGATTAGTGTATTTTTTAGCTGCGTGCTATCGTCTAAAAATTTGTTGTACATTTGTGAAATCGTCATCTAAGTGTAACAGAAATACTGTTTAGTTTTGTCAAAAGGATGCAAATGCAACGAAGCAACTGTAATTTATTTATAAAAAATGAATTAGTTGTCTTGTTTTTCTCTTCTTTTACTTCAAAAAAATTAAATACGGAAAGTTGATTGACGCATCGTTAATAGAAGGCCACCAAAAATGAAGCCTTTTTTTGAGTTTTTTGTAAATTTTTTTTTGCTTTTTGTTGTCACTGAATGTATCAGTAAAATTGATGCTGTTTTAACTGAATTTTCTAAGTCTGTTTTTTTTTTCTGGAATATGAAAGTTTCGGAATTGTTGTTGAATAATTTTTTTTTTCTTTTTGAAATTTTAAAAAAGTGGACAATTTTTTTGTTTTGTAAGCTAAAGAAAAGCTAAAGAAATTAGAAGCTTGACAAACGATAATTGGGCTGTAGACAGGTGATGTTGGTTATAATTGGTTTAGTTACTTTTGTTTTGCAAATGAAGGGGACAACGTACTTTTGATGTGCTATTTGTTTGTTAATTGCTATGTCTGTTGCTTTGAAAGTTCAGTAAAGTGTTTTGGTTAAGATTTTTATCTACAATTTTTTCTGCAATATTTTATTGATCGTAGAATAACAGTGTTGCAAAAAACAACAGTTTCTTTAGAAAACAGTGCTGCAAAGGTACACACTGTCTTAATCGTTTTACCTTTACAATTAATTCGCAACAAATAATCTGTACATTTTGTTTCTCTTTTTTCATCTACGATTTTTTTTACCTCTGTCAACAATTGGTTGCCACGTATCGGCTACAACAACTAATAGCGGAAGATGATTGATGAACTTTGCTGTTGCACCGGTGAATAATTTGCAGTTAAGTTTGGGCAGTGACTGTACGTCAGTTCTTCAGACTTACAATTCAGTCATCTGATCTGTCATTGCTAACATTAACGTGGTGACAAAAATGAGAAAAACTATGGGGTAACAAAATTTGCAGTTTACTGATACACGCAGATGTATCAACTGTTCTGATCAATTAATTTTTGACAATTTTTAATGGTATAAAAATTTTAAGATACAGTG